TCTTTCGGAGATTTCTTGTTACCTTGGCTGTTCATTGTGTTTAATGGACTATTTCTCCTCCTGGGCATTAATGGAAGTGTGTTCTGCCTTTTATTCCAGAAAGAAGTTTTATTATTTAACCTATTGCAAAGAAGGTTCTTTTCTTTTGATTTCCAGTAGCTGGTGTCTAAGCCTCTTGGATCCCTACTTTATATAAAGTCTTAATAACACTTTTTAAAGTTTTCTTTTAGATATTTAATCATGCTTGCTACCCTCAGTTTCAGTCCCTGTCAGTGTCAGTGACAGTCTTGGCAGTGTTTGCTCAGATTCTCCTGGGGCTCCTCGGTGATCAGTCTTGGAGGGTGTGGGTGGAGGAGCCCTCTGGGTTGGGGGTTGGGGACTGCAGCTCAACTTCGGTTTTCTAACCACAGCCTGCAAAAATCAGCTGTTGTTCCTCTGCGGTCCTGTCCCGCTTCTCTGCTTTCTGCCCTTATGGCTGGTCCCGCAGCCAGCCGGCCACGGGGAGCTCACAGCTATCCCAGGCAGAAATATTCAGGGAACTTGCAACTCCTTCTCTCCTCCCCCTCCTCCTGCAGAGAGCTCCGGCGGCTGTGAGAGGCAACCTCTTTATTACTCCCAGTCCTCCGCCCGACACCCGGGGTTCTGACCTGTGGTAGCTCTTATGCACAGATCCCACACTCAGACGTGCTGGTGTGCAGTTTGGGTGTTTTTTGTTGAGTTTTAGATGTTTAACTTATTGTTGTTTCAATGGGAGAGATATGGGGATGTCTCTCACTCCGCCACGTTTCCAAATATCAGCAGTATGTTGCTTCTGAGTCTGACTTCTTTCACTTAGTATTATATATTTGGGGTTCATCCATGTTGTTGCATGTATCATTAGTTCTTTCATTTTTATTGCTGAGTAATAATACATTGTATGGATTCTAGTTTGTGCATCCAGTCACTGGTCGAAAAACATTTGGGTTGTTTCTGATTTAGATAATTACAAATATAGCTGCTATATAAATTTCATGTACATATTTTTGTGTTTACATAAGTTTTCATTTAGGTAAATATACCTGTGAATAGGATTGTTGGGTCATATGGGAGGCTATGCTTAACTTAATAAGAAATTGGAAAACTGTTTTTC